GGAAAAGGCAGACAGCCAGGCAAAAGGTGCGTATTTTTTAAAAACATATTTCTATATGTGGTGAAAATCATCACTGGGTTGTGCTCATCATGTATTAAATGTGACAGATTCTCCCCACGTTGACTAACCTAAGGTTATTTCTAGACCTTGCTAACTTGGCATAAGGTTTCTTAAGTAAGTCTCTAAAAGCCTAACTTTTTGAGATTCATCAAAACCCAAATCCCACGCTATTTCTGCTCGCTGAATCAGTACCAACTGGAAAGTTTCCGATTTAAAAAGCTGTCACTGTTATCTTCAGATACTACTGTTGAAAAAGAAATTCTCCAATGAATCAAATCCAACTTGCAGATTCATCGGGAAGTACAAACTACTAAAATCCTGGACACTGTATGCTTCCTGGACCCAGAAAGGGTAGAAATAGCATCCTGTGACAGACACATCCTTAAAGAACACAGCTGAATTTCAGGTGAAAGATTAGACATGGCAAAGAAGAGGGGTTTTAAATGGGTGAAAGCGAACTATAAGAACTGGCAATATTAGAGGAAGGAGATGGCTGACAAGAGAGAAAATCTTGAAAAGTCGACATCTTTGAGTTTCACAGCGTCATGCACTCAGCGATTCAGAACTGATTGTTCAATAGACCCAGTTCCTTGTGCCTCAGGAACCACCATTTCCCAAGAGAACTGTAAGGAAAAGAGGACTTGGGAGAAAAATCAAAGGTCCAAGTTAAGGGCAGGCCTTAGTGAATGAAAGTGAAATCAGATCTGTTTTATGGGTCAAGCAGGATCCCAAATGGGGGAAAAGTGAGAACAAGACCTAGAAGGAATGCTAGGAATCATGCGAGAACAAGGGCACAGTAGACGTGAAAACTGGGAGTGTTACATCACAATTTCTGGACACTGAGCAGGGAAAAATGTTTTCGTGAAGTTGACAATATGCAGCAGTTAGTAATAATCACCTCCCTTTTGTTTTCCTTCTAGAGAAACACAGAAAGAAATCCCAAAGCAGGTTTCTTTTTTTCTAACACTTTCACCAAAAACATGGCTTACTTGCTTCTAGGGGCTTCATTTGCTTCATGGTCTTCTAGAACTTACAGCAGACACCTTCATTTATAATCTGGGTTTGATTGGCAAGTAAGATTTTTTAGCTCAGCGGTATTTCTCAGAGGACTGGTAATGCACTCAAAGACCCCATGAGAAGGAATTTAGAAAATGCCATTGAAAGCATCAGAAGCTTGGATTCTACCTTCAAATGGGATGAATCGGTGAACATGAGTGATGGGACAGAGCAGAAAGATGCCGAGAAATTGAAACAGATGAAAATTATAAACTAAATCTGCTCTGAGAAGCAATAGGAGGGTGTAAGAGTGTCTAGCTAAGTGGTCCCAGAGTATTGGGTTTTGCTCTCATCCTCATTGACCTCTCTTCCAAATTCTGAACACTTGATTTGTAATTTTAAATCATCTCTCAAGATTTGGCCACAAACTCTCCACCACTATCACCCCAACTTAGTATTATATTGTAGACACTCAACACTGTTTTCTTTCAGCATCCAAGTGATGGCTGATTTCATAGGACCAAGCAGCACAACGTACTACACCACATGCCCCTTAGCCTTTCATAAATGCCACTAATGTAACCATACCACCAAACAGGCATCTGACACATGAAATTCACATCTTAGCCTAACTCACATCAGCTTGATGGTTTGACAATTAGTCTGTGTGAACAAAATCCACGAATTTTACTCAAGTCCAGATAAGATGTTTGTGTTTTTGAAGGTAGAATTATAGAGAAATTATCCCTACAATTTCCATCATGAAAATTTAGCCAAAAGAAAGAGAACTAGTTTAATAGCGATTGTTTGGGATGTTGCTTTTAAAGAAGCAAGAGACGGAAGTCTAGAATCAGTTTTTATCTCCTTTTAAAGATTTCTATGTTTCTGGTTTCCTGTCTTTGGATGCTTCCCAAGTACTCTCAGTTCTTTGCAATGCCTCAACGTTTAACATGTTTCCTAAATTTACATCCTAAGAATTATGGCTTTGAAAGCAACACTTAACTCATTGTAAATTAGTCCCTATTTTTTGTTTACCCTGCATCGCAATACAAATATATAAAAGCCATATTATCAATTCTGAGTACTCTTTTTATCATGAACACTGGAGGGATGCATGGTTAAAAATAAAATCATGCTCAGAACTTTAAGAGTGGGAACTGGGAGGCTATGTCGTCGAAGGGCCCTTCTCGGCCCACCAGCTTTATCAGACCAATAGAGACTCATAGCAAATGAAAAAGAGAAAGTTTTCAAGGTAACAAAATTCGTAGGGTCAGAAGAAATTAGAAATGAAGCTAAGGCGCTAAGGCAGAAACTGTATATATAACAGAGAAACAGTTTCCAGATAATAATGTCCAGTGTTTCTGTAGACTTTCTATAACGGAAGGATTCTATTACATCTGTCATTTTCCCATGAGCTGAAAACTTCTTACAGAGTTTTATTGTTTAGGTTTGTGGACATCAGGCACTTGGGAGGGTAGCTCTTTGCTGAAAATCACCAGAAACATGACTGAACCATTTATATATTGGTCATGTTTGAATAAATTCAACCACTGTAAATCTGACTCATTTATAAAGCCATTTTTACTAGTATTTCTAAACATGCACGATCTTCTCATGTTCCTTTACTATGAAAACTCACTTGTGTTTTCTTCCAGGGTAGAGTTTCAGGATTTTTTTTTATGAACCTAAACTGGGACTAAGAAATAAACTATTGGGGTTTAAAGAATGAGGACTTTTTAAAAGACAGCCAAAACTTTCAAGTTTGAATAAAGTCTTTTCACCTTTGTGCAGCCATTTTAGTGATTTTGCACCCATGAGGCACTCTTCTTTGGTCCATATTTTAAACTGCTAGAAAAATTTTCTAGAAAACGAAGCCATTGGATAAAGATTTTGTGTGAAGGATTGCTAGAGCCCTATCAAAGATGACACACAGAATGGCCCATGGGTTTGTGAGAAGATGCTCAACATCATTCATTGTCAGAGAAATGCAAATCAAAAGCGCAATGAAATATCACACATCTTGTTAGAATGTCTATTATCAAAAAGACATGAAATAATACATGTGTTGGCGAGGATGGGGAGAAAAGGGAACCCTTGGGCACTGTTGGTGGGAAAGTAAATTGGTGCAACCACTGCGGAAAACAGAATGGAGGCTCCTCAAAAAATTAAAAATAGAACTACTGTGTGATTCATCATTTCCACACCTAGGTAATTTATCTGAAGAAAAGTAAAACACTAACTAGAAAAGATATCTGCATCCCCATGCTCACTGCAACATTATTTACAAAATATGTAAACAACCAAAGTGTCCATCAATAGATAAATGGATAAAGAAAATGTGATTTTATATCTATACTAGAGGCCTGGTGCACGAAATTTGTGCACAGGTAGGGTCCCTAGGCCTGGCCGGCAATCAGGGCCTATCGGGGCCGTCTTGCCCAGTCCTGATCGGGAGGTTGGCTGTGGGAGCACACTGACCACCAGGGGTCAGCTTCTGCATTGAGCATCTGTCCCCTGGTGGTCAGTGTGCATCATAGCAACTGGTTGACCGGTTGTTCTGGTTATTCAGTCGTAACGGTCGCTTAGGCTTTTATATATTTCTATATCTATATATCTATATATCTATATCTATATCTCCAGAAGCAGGGGTGGGCAAAATGGGTGAAGGGAGTCAGGGTTACAACCTTCCAGTTATAAAATAAATAAGTCATGGATGCACTGTACGGCATGGTAACTTTAGTGGATAAAACCGTATTGCATATTTGAAAGTTGCTAAGAGAATAAATCTTACATGTTCACATCACAAGGAAAAAAATTCTGTAACTATGTATGGTGACAGATGTCTAGACTTATTGTGGTGAACATTTCACAATATATACAAATATTGAATCATTATGTTGAAACGAATATAATGATGTGTGTCAATTATACTTCAATATAAAAAATAAATGGTGGGGGGAGGGGCTGGGGTGGTGGAAGAGGGCATAGAGGGAATAAATGGTGATGAAAAAAATAAAATAACTTATATAAATAAGTAAAAGTAAGCTGCAAAGGTCATGCTAAATAGTTTTTCTTAATATACTGTCAAAATTCCATTTCACATGAAGTTTTATACCACAGATCACTGTATTTAGTCAAAAATTACTTTTCTAAGCTACGTTTTAAGAAGAGTAGGGAAGGCTACTTCTAACTTTCAAGCTATGCTCAGACACCAACCTGGTGTGTAAAACTGTACAAGATCAGTTTCACCACATACATAACCTAATCCAGCAGGATTTTCAGCAATTACAATAATAAATTCCAATAATAAAGTTAAAGCAGAATTAAAGAGTCTTTGGTAAGACTAAAACAGCTTCCCGAAAGCCAAGCCAGTGGATGAAGATTCTGTGCGAAGGATTGCCAGGGCCCTTCAAAACTGCAGCCCATGGCCAGTGACCACCGCTAGCTTTCCTATGAAGGTGGGCATAAACGATTCTTCAACCAACAGGCAATTACCAATTCTGATTCTTGGCCTTAAAAAACACAACAAAAATGTTGCATTCCAGTACATTAAAAACCTGGCCTTTTGTTGGTTGTGGTAATTCTGCTTTTTTGTTTTGTTTTGTTTTGTTTTTTTCCTAATGAAACACAGTCTTTTCTCCTTTGTGCAGCAGGCCACAACTTTCCCTAGATTGAGTCATGTTGATTTAAAAAATCAGATTGTATGCCTCCATGGAGGTTCCAGAAATTTTCCGCCAAGAATACTAGTATCTATGGTCTTGATGGACAGGCTGCACCAAGCAGAGCGAGTCCATGCCGGGGCCTCCTTTCGCCTTGACTGGGGCCTCCCACAATGATGAGCAAACACAGGGCAAGTGTCCCTACATCACCGTCCAAATGCCTCCCTTCAAAAGCCCTGGATTCATTATTTCCGCACCCCTCAGAGGGAATGCGCGTGGCCTTACCGCCGACGTTAGACGCGCAAGAATTTCATCACTGCTTTCTTCCGAGTCTTCAATTTTCCGATGGGACCTTTGAAAAACAAAGAATGAATTACCCTTCAGCTCTGGTTACTCAAATTTATCTACCAAGTTATGGGGAATCACATGGCATTCCCACTGTTTAATACATGATTGTCTAATTATTCTTGTTTAATACATTAGTCAAAGTCCCCAAGCAAATAACATGGTGTCGGTAGTGCCATGGGAACTCAGTTCTGCTGCAGCCCAAATGTCCCTTCAAATTCAGTCAGCAAGAACCTCTTCACAAAACACCAGCTAAATCCTGAAGATAGAGTGCTGTTCTCCAAATGATTTCACAACATAACCCCGGCACACTGGATTTACAGATATGGGCATACACAAAGCATAAGTGGCTGTGAATATGTGCTGGTTAAGCACTAACATTCCCTCTAGACTAAATGAAATCCAGATTTTGAAAATATGAATCATGAATTTTCCACTACATCTGAGTTCCAGCCAAAACAGATGTATTCTGAAATGGTCTATTACAGACCTAACACTATGACAGGATTTATGTGGAAAACAATAGCAGAAGAAGCCCTTTGTTCTTTTTTAAGAGAGACAGCCCAGTTGAGAGGCAAAAAAAAAAAGTGTATGCATATGTTGAATCACTACAGAGACATATATTACACAAGTATCAGATCGATTTGTTTAGGAAAATCACCTTTCTAATGTAATTCATGAAAAAATGTTAACTGCACAAACGCATGTACTAACGTACAAAATGATCTACTTTTTAAAACGAATCTTATAGAACTGCATTCTTTCTCTTGGTTTGGTCAAAGAAAAAAATTAACTAATGCTATCGAATATATAAATTGTCTCCAAGGTCCATTTCCACAAGCAATCCCTTCTCCCCTGTGGAACTGGAGGGGTCGGTGGTAATGCCCTGCGGAGCGGCGTTATCAGGATGGCAGTCCAGTGATTGATTTCAATTGCGCCAATGGCAGCAGTGGGCCGGCTGGGGTGCTAGCCGGAGTGGCAGGAGGGCGGCTCCCGGCTCACAGGGGAGCTAAGAAGCTCTTTAAGAAAATAAACGCTGGTCAGATCAATTCTGACATTGGCTTCCTGTTCTGCACATGTTATTAAACCTTTTTATAGAAAACAAGCCATACCCTTCCAGAGCAGTGAGTTACAAACTACTCCCTTTATAAGGATTGCATGATGTAGGTATGAAACAGTGTGGGTGTTGTCCGATAGCTTAATTACTTATGCAGCAAAGTGTTTCAAACATTACCTAATGACCTGCCCATAAAAACAATGGGAACTGAGCATGATAATTTACCGTATTCCCCCAAAACCAAGTTACATGGATGATGAATATTCCAAACAATGAGTTTTATTATTAAAATGATCTATTCACAAGGTTTCCCTGCCTGGGCAGTGTGGCTCAGTGGTTGAGAGTCTATCCAGAAACCAGAAGGTCACAGTTCGATTCCCAGTCAGGGCACATGCCTGGGTTTTAGGCTCGATCTCCAGTAGGGAGCATGCAGGAGGCAGCCGATCAATGATTCTCTCTCATCACTGATGTTTCTCTCTCTCTCTCCCTCTCCCTTCCTCTCTCAGAAATCAATAAAAGCATTTTTTTTTTAAAAAAAAAAAGGTCTTAAAACCGTTTTCCTATACATGAAGTTATACTAAGGAGAGATTTGCAATCTTTTATAACCTCAGCCGCCAAACCAAATTTATATGATTAAGTTGAGGTGACTGACAGATCTGTCAGGAAATGAAGCACCAAACGCACCGAGACACCAGGGCACATCACAAGGGCTTGGATACTCCGTCTGGGTCCACAGAGAGGGCGGCTGCTCATGCTGTCCCCTGCCTCTCAGACCCTGCAGACACCTGGGGCAGTTGGTGGGGTGAGGTATGTCGCACCACAGATTCTGTCATGAATGTCATTTCAACAAACTTCTGAGAGAAACTCGACATTCCCAGGGAAGCCCTTGTGTTTGTGACTGATAATGACTACTTCATGAGTGATGGCTGAGAAGTTGCTGGTTCAGTGGCAAATAATGTAGTCCCTGTTCAGAAGCAAAACTATCTGTCATCATTCTTCCAGCACAAAACATGCCTCAGCACAAGCGTTTCTAAAGGAAATATGCCTGGGGAAAGCCGGGTGATGATCTCCAGCGAGCTGCCCGCAGCCCCTGTCCCACTTTTATCGCCTCAATCAGCACAGTTTATGCCCAGGACCTCCCAAATCTTTCTTCTGCCCGAGCTCCCCTTGTTCTTCCATCTGCCTTCAAAGGGGCTCTAGGTGGCAATTCCAGGAATGTTCACCCACGTGGGGAATCTGTAGGCTCTTAGAACTCAGCATAACTTACACTGAACTCCTCTTCCTCCTGCCCGCGCCCCTCACAGCTCAGCTCCATGGTCGCCTTGTGGCCATCCCCTTCCTCCCGCCTTGCCAAACACCCTTTCTTTCCTGCGAATGTGCCCCATGCCCCTGGCATGAGCAGGCACCCGTGTCTCGCCTGCTGGAAAGGGGAGTCTTGGGAGCAGAACTGGTGGGAATGGGCAAACAGTAGAAGTTTGAAAAGGGCAAAGGAAGAGAGAAGGCTAACCCTCAATTACTTGTCTTCCTCACCACTTGGGTCCCGCCTCAGCTTGATGCCAAAATGCCCAGGAATACCCCACCGTCTTTCCCCAGCAAATGTATTTTCATAAAATGTAGATGAATTCTGATTATTTTATGTATGTAAATATACATCAGTGCAGTCCAGTGAAGACAACGTTGTCATATATCAGATCAAAATAGATAATGAAACAGGTGGGGCAAGGGCGAGTAAAGCAAAGACTCAATTGCAATACTTGCATATTCCCCATGTATTGCCCAGTGGACAGGAGAGGAAGAGGGAAGTTCCGAGTGTGGCTAGGGAAGGGAAACACAGAAATCTGGGCTGGAATCCCCAGTTAACGGCAACGACAAGTTGACTTAAGACAGAAAAGGAGTGACCCCAGGAAGAAAGACCCATCCCTGAGGGTGTGTGCCAGCAGGAAGCTCCCACCCAGTGGGCACACCCCTTTAAGCATGTTCATGGTTGCTTCTCAATGTCTCTGCTTAACAATAGCCCAAGCCTGAACCCAAGTCCTAGTGCTGTGGGCAGACGTCTTTAAAAGTTGGAGAGGTTACTATCTAAGGCAGTGGTTCTCAACCTGTGGGTCGCGACCCCTTTGGGGGTCGAACGACCCTTTCACAGGGGTCTCCTAAGACCATCGGAAAACACACATATAAGTACATATTGTTTTTGTGATTAATCACTATGCTTTAATTATGTTCAATTTGTAACAATGAAAATACATCCTGCATATCAAATATTTACATTACGATTCATAACAGTAGCAAAATTACAGTTATGAAGTAGCAACGAAAATAATTTTATGGTTGGGGGTCACCACAACATGAGGAACTGTATTAAAGGGTTGCAGCATTAGGAAGGTTGAGAACCACTGATCTAAGGGTAGTTGAGAAGACACAGGAGTGGCAAAAGCCTGTGGTCCTCTGCCCTGGTCCCTCTAACTATCAAACTGGATATATTATCATTCTACCCAGCTCCCACCAAAAAAAACAAACAAAAATCCTCCCCTCCCCACAGACTTCCCTGAATTTTGAGGCACAAATTCAGCAAGTCCATCCTCCTAGTTGCAAGTCAGCCCTGATTTTCTCTCCTCTCCCCGCAAGCACAGCCACCCACCCACAATCCCCATTGCATGCACCCTGGAATCCTATTGGCTTCCAGGTGTATCTCTTATTTGACCACTTCTTACCACCTCTGTTACCATTGTGGTCCAGCCACAGAATCTCTCACTTGGACCCTGGGGCCAGAGTGGACTTATTAATATGCAAGTTAGATCATGCCCCTCCTTTGCTCAGAATCCTCAAATGACTCTCCATCTCCTTCTGCATAAAATCAAAGTCTTTACGAAGCCCTTGGGATCTGGCCTCCTGGTGGTTTTCTCATTCCTCCCTCTCTTATCTCCTCCAGCCACACTTGCTTTGTTGTTGATGCTTCTGCCTGGAGCCTCTGCACCAGCTGTCCTTTCGACCTGGAACACCTTCCTCAGATACCCACATCCCTCAGATACCCACATTGCTCCTCTCCTCACATCCTTCAAGTCCCTGACAACTTCCCAGAGAAGCCTTCGCTGACCCACATCCATAGCCCTCATTTCCCATTTTATTTTTCTTCATGAAGTTTTCCACCTTTAACCAACATAAATCTGTTCATTGTTGAAATTCTGTCCTCCCCTACTAGACTGAAGGCTCTGTGGGAGTAGAGGTTTCTGTCTGTTTTGTTCATTGTTGCATTCTCAACACTTAGAACACAAACTGGTGCGACAGGCATTCAATATCTATTTGTTGAAGACAGGATGGGGCAAACGTAGGTTTATAGCTGTGGGTACATGAAACACAGAATTTATTCTTATATTATTATTCATGGCATTATTTTCCACAGGAACAACTGCATATTCACTGAGTACCTTAAACTTCAAGGAATGCTCTGCTATGAACTACCATCTCAGGAGTATTGCTGCACAAGATATTAACTAGTTACCTCATCAAGTCAACTGAAGGATTCTGCTTATACCCAAGAACTATTCCCTCCAGTTATTCACGCATTCTCCTAGCTCCCTGCAGCAGGTCTTCCTTTCAGTGACCTTTATGTCACTAAAATCCAACAAGACTGACTTCCTTATACCTAATACCAAAGATCTGGTAACTTTGAAAATATATTAAATAACAGCAGCATAATTACTACCCCCACCGCCTGATATTTTTCTAAAAAATAATTAGCATAGCCTTAATGTCAGTACCCAACCTAGGCAACTGCTTGACAATCATTTACACAACTCATAAGGCAAAAGAAAAGAAGCAGAAGTTCCCCACCCAAGAACGTCTCTCAACACAAACTCTCAGCTCAGCGTGGCTGATTTCCAATAAAGAGCCTTAGGAGGCAGCACACAGGAACCGTGATCTGGGCAGTAGTTTCATACCAGTCCCAGCAT